AAAAAAATTACTACAAGAAGTCTTAGCCAGAATAAATTAAAACAAGACAATAAATTAAAGAGTATTGTAATTAGAAAGAAAGAAGTCAATATACAAATGTGCAGATAATATGATTTTATATATAGAAAATCCTAAAAAAAAAAATCAATGAAAAATTCTTAGGAAGGAAAAATGAATTCAGTAGTTTCAAGATACAAAATAATGAAAAAAGTGAAAAATTTCTGAAAGGAATTTTAAAACAAGGGCTGGGGATTTAGCTCAGTGTTTCCACCACCTGCCTCACAAGCACAAGGTCCTGAGTTCAATCCCCGATACAAAAATAAATAAATAAATAAATAAAATAATAATAACGATAATTTTAAAATAGGGTTGAATATGTATAAAAAAGGAACAAAAAATGAAAAACAGCTTGTGTTCATATGTCAAAATGTATATACTGTTAAATGTATGTACTGTTATATGTAGATACTGTTAAAATGTGTATAACATCTAAAGTCATCCACAAATTCATTGCAAACTCCATCAAATTGCCAACACTATTATTCTGAGAAACAAATAAAACAATTATAAAACTCATAGGAATCAATAGAAAGACCCAGTATATTCCAAGCAATTCTGAAAGAAAATAAAAATTGTGAACACTACAACAGCTGGCTTCAAAATACACTACAAAAATGTCTAATAAACCAGAGGGTATGACATTGGCATAAAAAAACTAAACTAATAGAAGTACATAAAGAAGTCAATGCAGAACTCAGTAACTACCCAACTGAATATACATTGGCTAAAAAAAAGCTTCTTAAATTAGTGCTGCTGTTAATACTGTGGTATATTCATATGCAGTTGACTAAAACGTGACCCTTCTCTCTTATCTTGCATAAAAGTCAAGTCAAAATGATCAGAAACCTAAAAGAAAGAGCTGAAAGCACAAAAATAATGAAAAAATATTATAGGGAAAGCACTTTAAGACATTAAGTTAGGCAAATAAATTTTGGATATGACTCTAAAGACATATGACACAAAAGCAATACCAAAGGCAAGCAGACAGGATTTTATCAAATTAAGGAGTTTCTGCACAGGCAACAATAAATTGAAGAGACAGCCATAAATTGGCAGATAATATTTCCAAACTTTCTATCTGATAAGGTATGAATATCCACAAATTACACAGTATTCAATATTCCATTATCTGGTCACCAACTTTTGTTGAAACTTAAGGATAACATATCAGTTTTTTGTTTGTTTGTTTTTTCTTTTTTGTTTTGTTTTGTTTTTTGAGCCAGGGTCTCACTATGTAGTTGAGACTGACCTGGAACTCACTATGTAGCCCTGACTGGTCTCGAACTCACGGCAATCCTCCTGCCTCAGCCTCCCAAGTGCTGAGATGACAGGAGTGCACCATCAAGCCTGGCTACCAATGCCAATCTAATTATTTGCAAAGTGAAAATCATTAGAAGTGTGTTTGCCCTGAATCATTTAAAGTACAGGTTATTTAGACCATCTCTTGTCAATGAATTTATTTTCTTTGCAAAAAATGGACCAGTAATCTGCAGTTTTAAGAAGCACTTTAAATAAATGAGAACACATGCACTGCATAATTTTTATAGATTACGTTAAATTCCAAGTTCTGTGATTCTATAAGTATTCAAAAGAGGAGAGCATGACATAAAAGAAATAGTAAAGCTGGTAAACTCATTACAAAGAATAAAGTTTGAATTGGGACTAATCTAAGCATGTTTTGTTCTTTATTCAAATTCAATACCTCACCTATACATTTACATCAAAACTTGAAACCATATGTCTTAAATCTGAATGGCTTTAGTGTCTTAAATGGTGTACTCCTTGTGGGAATTAAATTTATTATAGCTGACTGTCTTAAATCCTTCATTATAGGAATTTCCTCTGTAGCTCATTTAGTTGTTAAAATGTATATGTTCATGACTTTTCTTTTGCTTTTCTTAGACTGTTTAGTTAATAGGCCATATTTATTACAAATCTCCTCAAAGCAAAATTAAGTTTATTTCCTCACCATGTTCAACAAAAAAGCTTCTTAAGAACAAGCCATAAGTAGAGATTCAATAAAGAACAAAACAAGGTATCATTATGGGTTTGAAGAGCTAATTAGAGCAGAAATTAGCAATGGTTCCTATAATGATAGCCAAATGTTTGAGTGTTCCCAGCAGTCAGAGAAGTGAGTCCCACTGAGAGTTTCATAGGGTCTTTCAGGATACATTGTCAAAATTAGCCAAGTAGTATTCATGTTCAGGATAGGCACAGTCAACCAGGGAAGATCAACTTTAATGACTTGTCCACTGCAGTAATAAAAAAAATGCTAAGTTCATCAGAGGCAACTCTGAATAAATGATGCTGACATTTTTAAGTGAGACTATTCCAGTCATTTCTATTTGCTTTAGATTAAATGTGTAAATTCAAATTATTTTTGATGGCTGGTAGAATTAAAGAGTATCCTGAAGATTCCCAGACTTACCAAAGTTAGAGTAACAAGTTAAATGTTGGGACATGTTATCCCTCACCTGAGGTAAGTGATCCAGGCTGGAAGTATGGGTCGGTGGGAAAGCAGTGGCATAGCATGGGTAAAACTCGATTTGATCCCTAGCATCACAAAACAGAGTAACCGATCTTATTATAGTTCTTCTTGAGAATTTTGTAAAGATGAAAGCACAGCTAAATTTTTTAACTTTCCTAAATTGTCAGTGAGTTCACAGAATTACATCATCTGTGTATGTTTGGGGCTGTTCGTATGTTTGCATGAGCATCAATCGCTCTCCCATAAACAATTCCTATTAACCATAGGCCAAACAGCATGTAAACTGGAATGACATCTTTTGCCCTCACTTGTTCATCAAGACATGAGCTGTTCATCATTTCTCGGCCTTTTGCCTAGGATCAAGTGTGGTGTCTGTTCTTATCAGTCTAATATCTGATACGCCCTCTATCCAAGGGCTATATATTAAATGGACTTTTGGAGCTGGGATTTGGAACGGGAGCTTGCTCCGTCCATTCTACTCATTGACCTGATATTTCAGTGCCTCCAGGAACCGTGCACCAAATAAATGAATAAATAAATAAAAGATATCAACTGTTCTATGTTGAATATCTTTATATTTTTCTCTTACCAATCCAGCAACATTTTATTAGACAAAGATGTTCTTAAGGCCAGCCATTTATCAGTTATCATAATAAGCAATGAGAGTAGAATCAAAAAGACGGGTACTGTGATAGCAATGCGGATGTGTAGTTAAGGCCAAGATATTCATTTTGCGCCATATATGAAAGTAAAGGCAGTCACTTCCTGTCACAGACACCAAAGATGACATTTTGCACTAACTGGTGTACCTTCAATTATTACTTAACTAGACAATATGTAAAGACATTGGACAACAAGTAGAGGAAGAATGTGAAGCTTGGAGGAAGAAAAACAAAGATCAGAATAACTAAAATCACCATGCTTTCTTGTCTATACTGAAGGAAGGGATATTCTAAGGAAAATATGTTAGTTGTCTTAGTTACTTTCTAGCGTCTGGCACAAAATGTCTAATACCTATAGTTAAGGGAGGAAAGCTTACTTTGGTTCACACTTTGAAGAGGTTTCAGTCCATAGTTGCCCAGCTCCAGGGCAAGGCAGACTGGAAGAGGGGTATCACAGAGGAGAAACAGCTCATGGCATGGCAGGCAGGAATCAGAGCAAGATCGAAGCAGGAGAAGAGATATATATATAATTCCAGGTCACACCCACAGTGGCCCACCTCCCTCCATCAGGATTTCCCTCACAACAGTGCACACAGATATAAACCCATCATTGAAATAATCCAGAATCACACACCCCGATCCAGTCAACTCCCCAAAGCCCCATCTATGAGTTCAGAAAGCTATGAGGGACATTTTGGATACAAACCATAGCAGCAGTCACTCACAAAGAGGCTAGAAATCAGAGTGGCAGAAATGGCTGACATGTGTAGACATAATTACTGTAGAAGAGGGAGCGTGACTGAGAGATCCTCAAACAATTACAGAGGAGTCCACTAAAGAGTTGGCTACATATAAATATATGTAGAGGTTATAAAAAATAATCAGTCTTCCCTGATCTCATAAAGAGCTGGCAAGATGTTTGATTTTCATTTGGCAAGAGCAGTGAGACCCCACTGATCACTGATAAGAATTAGTGGAGATCTCCAAAGTGTCACTTTTAAGAAAAAGATTATTCAGTTCAATAGTAAGTATAATTCAATAACACTATAAAGAGGTTTAAAAGAAACTCCTCAAAGAATCATATTTATCTGCAAGAAATGTAATGGCTTTTTGAAATAAAATCCAATCTTTTTAAAAACCAGGCATCAAAATACAAATTCTCAACAGTAAAATTCACAGTACCCTTCACTCGTAAGAAATTGTCTGATAAAAGAGGTGTAACATGTTATAACCATAACAGAACAAATCTCTAAAAAAAGATGCAAATTTGAGAGAGATGATGAGATTATTAAAAAGGACCTTGGAGAAATTTACTATAAATATTATAAATATGTTCACGAATTTTATGGAAAATATGAACAAAATTGGAAGGAAAAGGAATTGTATAATAAAAATCCTGTAGATTTTCCTAATGAATAGGGAAAAAATGTGAAATTACACTGTAACTCAGAATGGATTAAGCATTTAAATGCGAGATTAGAAACTAAAACATCAGAAGAAAATAAGGAAAAAAAATTCAAAATATTGGTATCAGTGAAAAGGTCTTATTTTTAGATTCAAAAGCACTGGTGTTATGGCTTCTATCTAGATTCCCCCTCCTTAGAGCCTCACACACACTCATTAGTAGGGCTTTTGGGAGGTGACTGCGTCATGGGTGTGTGAAACTGGATTATGACTGTGTGACAGCCGGATGAGTCACTGACTGATTTAGAATGATTGGAAGTGTGATTGGAAGGCCCAGTCTGGGTGTGGATGGCACTAACCAATAGGGTCACAGCCTGAATGGAATAGAAAAGGGAAGGAAGGTTCACAGAGCCTCCTGCCTGCTACACCATAAGCTGTTTTTCCTCTGCAGTGCCCCTCTGCGTGCTGCCCTGCCTTTGAGCCAGCAGGCTGAGGACTAAAACTTCTACAGATTTTCAGCCAAAAATATTTCTGTCTTAATTTGAGGTGTTGGGTATTTTGTCCCAGAAATGAGAAAGTAATCAAGACAGCAGAGTAAAACAACAACAAAATCCTTTTAGCTCTTTGCATTTTTATATGACTTACATAGTTTCTACTGAAACTAACTTTTACTGTAATGGACTTTTATTTCTGGCAACTTTCAAAAAAAAGTTTTTATTGGTTTTGAGAGACATGATTGTGTAAGAGAAGGGAAAAATTCCATTCTTTTGCACATAAATATCCAGTTTTCCAAATGCAGTTTATTAAAAGGACTATCCTATATGGATTGGTTTCACATGGACTCTTGCTGAAGATCATTTGATTATATAAACACATATTTAGTTTTGGATTCTTTAATCCTTTATTAAATATGACTTTTTAATTAACTTTATTGGTACATCTTAGGTCTACATTATGGCCACATTAATCATTGGGAATTTGTACCGGTACATGATACATCTTGTCTTTTACATTCCGTTTCACTCTCCTCTACCCCTCCCTATTTACAAATAAAACTTCAGTCTCATGGAAACTAGCACAAAAAATCAACTGGGATCTCATTTTATTAAAAAACTTCTGTAAAGCAAGGTAAACTACCAACAGAAGAGACAAACCACAATATGGGTCTGTTCATCAGACAAAGGTCCACTACCTCAAACAGATAAAAGAATTTTTTTAAAAATTGGGTACTCCAAATTTAAAGACACAATCCAAAAAATCAACAGACATTTTCAGATAAAGAAGTAGGAACATCAAATGAATATGACTATTTTTATGACAGGACTATCTTGTTATAATTTGCGTAAATTTTACATTGGTTTTCCAAGTCTGAAATTATGAGATTCCAGCTGTTTTGTTTATTTTCAAGATGACTTTAGCTATTCAGTGTCTTTAGTGGATCCATCTAAATTTCAGAAGTTACTTTTTCTATTTCTGTTAAAAAAAATGCTATATCTTGGAAATAACCCAAATGCCAGTCAACCAATGAATGGATAAAGAAGATGTGGTATTTTTATATAAAGGAGTACCACTAAGACACAAAGAAGGATAAACTTCAGCATTTATAGGTAAATTGATGCGCCTAGACATCATACTGTCAAATGAAATAAATTGGACGCAATGATATTTATCTCATTGTTTCTCACGTATGAGAAACTGAAACTATGAATAAGGACCAAAATGTATAGTAGATATTGTGAAATAGGAGGAAAATATTAAAATGGGAAGGAACAAAGGGAGGGGGGAGAGGAAAAGGAAGGGAGGCAAAAGAAAATAATGAGAAAAGAAAGACAAAATAGATACAAAACTCTTGTAAATAAGAAGAGAAAGCAGGGTAGAAGAGAGAGAAAGAATGGGAAAACACAAATGAAAATTAAGATATACCATGTGCAAATGTTATATGGTGAATACGATCTTTATGTATATCTGAATTGTACCAATAAACTCGATTAATGATAAAAAGCAATAATGAAATATTATATGTTTTCTTTCATATTTTACTCATGTGAAAGTTACATTTTTCTGTACATATAAAAGGCTAAAACACATTAAAGTTTTAGTAATATTGATCAGAGGCAAAAAATAAATATTCCATGGGAATTCCTGTAAGAATTATATTGAATCTTGAGATTTTTTTTTTCAGTAGTAAGTGCATTTTGGGAATATTAATCCTTTCAATCTATAGAAGCAGGACGTCTTTCCATCCATCTGTGTCACTTTTAATTTCTTTCACAAATTTTTTGGAGTTTCTTGCATACAGATACCTAACTAAACACCAAGAAAGTGAAAGAAAACCTAAAGAAGGGAATATTGAAAATCAATCATAAGAGGTTATGTTAGTCAGCTTTCCTGTACCGGGGACAAAATACCCAACACATACAATTTAAAGAGGAAAAGGTCGAGTTGGCTCTCATTTTAGAGGAAGGAGTCCATGGCTGGTTGATGCAGAAGGAGGAATGGCATGGCAGAGGGAGATAATGGGGGAACAGATGTTATGGCAGCCAGGAAACAGAGAAGAAATGGAGGAGGGAGGAAGGAACATGCACTTTCCAAAGGCACAACCACAGCACAGCACTTCCTCTAAACACACCCACCCCTCAACAGCTCTTTCATCCAGGAGCTCATCTATGGTTAATGCACCGATGAGTGTAACACCTCCATGATCCACTCACCCTCTAAAAGCCCTTCCTCAGAATACCTGATACTTTGGGGGGGCCTTCTAGATCCAATCCACAGCAGGGTTAATACAAAATTATACAAACAAGCCAAACTACTCACTAACCAGTGATCACTTGGATGACTCCACCTAGTAGTGAATGATATTTAGAACACATTGCAATTTTCCCTGCTATAGGAAGCTTACAAGAATCCATTCTAATATTGGGTTGGGGAAAACTCAATTGCTTTACTTTCAAATTCCCTTCAAAAGTAGGACATATTAATGCTACTAATTTCAGATCGTTACATTTATTTTCTTGCACTGCGTATTAGTCATTTCCTGTCACTGGAACTAAGTTCCTAACACTGACAATTTAAAGGCAGAGAGGATCAATTTGGCTCAATTTCAGGAGAGTTAGTCATGGTAGGCTGGCTTCAAGGCAGCAACGTGGCAGAGGCATGTGGGAGGAGAAAGATGTTCACCTCATGTCCGACAGGAAGTAGTGAGAGAAAAGAGAGGAGCTGAGGACAAGAATATGTCCTTCCAAATCACATCTGGGTGACCTTCCTCTCTCAATCAGTCCTCAAATGCTAACAGCACCTTCATCTATGAGCTTGTTAGTGGATTAATCCACTGAGGAATATAAGGTCCCATATAAACTGTGATACAATGTAGTTTTTTATCAACTACCAAAAGCCCTGCCTCTGAAAGCATAAGAACTTTGGAGGAAATTTTAGACTGATACCATAAAGTACTGCTT